TACTCTAAGAGCAGCCCTCTTCGCTTGTGATTGCACATGGATGTGAAGAGGTGCAGTTGGATATAATTGTAGAATGTAATAATATAGATTTTGTAAATATTAATTGACAAATTACAAATTTTATGTTGCGGTATTGGTATAATATTTTATTTTGATAGTTAAGGTGGTGTTACTATTTTATTTATATTTGACGAAACTTCTGATTATCAGCTCCTGAAATTAGCAGCTTTCGGTTTGTTGTATAGGGAGGAATTGCTTACAATAGTTTAGGAAAATACTGTTTTTTAGCGATTTTTTTCAGTCAACATGTATTTTTCGAACAGAGGTTGAATTGTGGGTCAATTTATTTTACGATAAGGTTTCGGCTCATAAAATTGCATGGCTGATCCGGTGCATGCGAACCTACTCACATACTCATTATCGTTGTTTATAATTATTTTCATATATGCTTCGGACCTAAAACAGTAAGGCGCGGTGCACAACGTATATGTTTTCGTAATACTATCCACTATTGACTATTGACAAAAATTATAAATGACCAATGCGCATCCACAAGCACTAATTAATTTCACTAGCAACTTCTGTTCAAATTTGTGCCTTAAAATAAAATTTAAAACGCACTAATGATAAGGGTTAGTCCTTTCACTGGTGCTATTGTGGTCACGCTGGTGATCAAGTGATGTCGGCGATTTTAACAAATGTAGTGATTACCGATCATTTAATCGTCTGCGTAATACGACCCATTACTTTTTATATATTTATGGAAAAAAAAGAAAAATGATTTTAAATTGTAAATTATATTACAATGTTAATCTTGCTTCTAATTGCACAAATACGTTATTTTCCTGATTGATCGATCGATTATATTATAAAATTATTTTTGCAACTATAATAAAATGATATCATAAGTTATTGTAATTATAACGTGTAGTTATGCAAGAAGTTCAAAATACTGAACTAAATATACCATATAGTAAAAATATATGTGCCATTTATTTATTGTCAGACAATTAAAAGAAACTGGCGTTCACAATTATGCACTAGACGTGAGTATCTAAAAAATGGAAAACGTCGGAATGATTATCAAGTAGATTAGGTTAGGTTACTGGGACCGTCCGAAGACATGAAGTAGTTGCTGCAGATCTTGAAGAATAGCTATTTTCATTGCTGTGCTGATCTCTTGACGCCGTTCAATATGTGCAAGAATTTATGTTGTGCATCTTCAATAGGTTGTAATGATTCAATATATTGGTGAATCTGGCCATTGTGATACCCTTAAGAATTTGACACCTGTCACTATAACCATTCAATACTGGTCACAAAGCCATTGACACGAGCTAGGAAAATAAAATTTAGCTCTCTTAGTGAATTGTAAACATACCTTAAGTAGGAGAGTCTATGTCTTACTATTATCAAGTAATAGTGTATATAAATGTTTTAAACCTTTTATTTATGCTGATATTAAGCAAATGCTTAATCTTTAATCATAATTTAATTTATACTTAAGTAAGTTCTCAGAATTAAAGTTACAACAGTGAAATAACGCATATTCTGTTCACATTTCAAAAATGTAATCTAATCAAGTTTTTGAAATAATTTTAAAAATAATTGATCCTTAAACTTACCGCTTTGGCGTACGCCTTTCCAATTCCATCAGTGGCACCCGTAACAACTGCAAGTAAAGAACTAAGCTTTAGTGTTATATTTGGATTATATGACAAATTAACTGCAAAAATATTTTAAAATGTTTTAAATAGGTTGAAAATAGGAAAAAAAAATGTATTATCACTTATGTTAATATCAGGTATCAAACAAGAGTTATATATATACAAGAGTTATATTTAATCAGTTATGAGGTTAATAAGTTTAATAAATAATTTTGAAAAAATGTTGAACATACCAGCCCACGCTCCCATCTGGCATAAATTGATCTTCGGTCCGAAGAAGGTGGGACCAATGATATTTGCATACAGCCATGGCAGAACTATGTGTATAATTTGTACGCAGACAATACCTACACAAATACTGCTTAAAATGGAATAATCTAGAGCCATATTTACACTTGTACACCTAAATTCTTCAAATTTTTCACTTATGTTTCAATATCAAATTATACGTTAAAACCTTATATCTTCTAGTAAAGGTAAGAACAAGGCGTTGCTTCCTGCGTTGCCTCCGTGCGTTGAGTAACTAATAAATGAAATCCATTTTCTTTCCTCGTTAGTTCATGCGTGTTGATAAAAAATTAATGAACTGGAGTAATTTATAGAGTTACTGTGATTTTAAACGTTTTTGAAATTAATATCCATCATTTTCTACAAAAAGTAAACGTACAAGTTTTTAATTAATTGAATAAGAGCTCATATTAACATTTATATTACAAGACTATAACGATCTATAATATATCTACAAACATAAGTCACAATAAAAACGTACATTAAAGAACTATAAGAACCCTGTTATGCAGGTAATCAAATTATCATCGATGAGGGAAGGTTTACGATCGTTCTTTGATCTTTGATGTATTGTATTTTGCAGACGATCATATGATTTTCTTCTGTGACAAACCTTCATAATTGCTAGTATTTTCACTATTTCACGTTTTGTTTAAGTACTTTTGTCGAATATTTAAAGAAAGATTTAAAGAAAGACCATATCATTATGGATTATAATGAAATAAGTTTGAATCTCATTTGGGACTGAAGCAAGTTCAAAGAAGGCAATCATATAAAATTAGTATATATGATTTATTTCGACTGTAAAGATCACTTTATGTAAAAATGTGTGTTTGTACTTGCTAAGTGCTTCCTTATTCCTATTTGAGCAAGTACATTTAGTAGTGTCATCAAATTCTTTACCAGTAGTTCGATGCCATGTTTTTTCTGAGGTGTCTAGTCGTCGATTGCCCATGGAGTCTATCGCAATACCTGTCTAGCTATATTATAGCAGGGCCTCTAAGCTTATGGGTAATGCTTCCTGGTTACATTTATTGCTTGCAGTTGATTGGTCAGATTCCACGTGTTCTTATTAAACATTTTCTCAGGTCAGAGTATTTTAATATTGCAATGTTTATTATTGGAGACTTATACGCGATCGTCTATTTTTCTTAAGCTCTTTCATATCTATCCGCATAATAATAAATATAGTTTTGATATTTGAGTTGAAAGGACACAGCTCTGTTTTCGGAGTTATTTGACTGTACCGGCAGACATTGACTAAAATCAGCGCTTGTGTTACTTATGCTTGCTAATACATTTTCGTCGGTTTAACTTCTTTTTGTAGCAGTGCTGCATAGGTTAACCGCAAATTGCGGACATTCTACATTGATAAAACCATAAGAGTTTATAAAAGTTGATCCTGATCACAGCCCGACATTATAGTCGCTTTTTAAAACTTTGTTTTACTCCGCTTTTATATTCAAATTAGTCTTCTTGGGGTTTCTGTTCTGCTAAGCAAATAAGCATTGTCAGCATATGTCAAAGCTGTTAGTTTTGCAGAAGAAGACTACTGAATGTCGTGTCTACCGTTCATCACATTTATATATTATTATGGTATATGAAAGTAGAGATATGGCAATCTAAGAATGGCAATCTAATGCATATATTAAGTTATCAAAATTATACCAGCTAATATTTTAATTTTTTAGTGTAAACTCCTCTTTCATACGTCAATATCAGCTGACCGCGCATACAGATCAGAATCAATTTTTCTGTTTAAACTATCCAAAGAAATCACTATTTATTAACAGTATATGTAAAATTTCTTTGGATTCTTTTCAATAAATGAGTACAACTAATTTACTTAAAAAACTAATATGTCAGACACGTAGTCTCACGTGACGTCACAATTGTCACAATATATAATTATGACTCTTTTTAGTGTATTCTTGCAGAAGGAATAGAGTGTCACTTATGACATTTATCTTTTTTTACAAAAGTGTGTAGCGCATTTATGAACCTCATACGGCTAGCCTTACGCGAAAACTTACAGCCAGTCCCACTTAGCACTATCTAATCTCAGAGCAGTCACTAACCATACGGGGCGGTATGCAGACCTTATATCAGTCATCGAATTATCAGCAAAGCTTGTGAGGAATACATAAATTAGACAAAGAGAAGGGAGGGACTCTGTAGAAACCCTTCAGCTAACAAAGAGTAAAAGTGCCCAGTTTTACTAACTCGAAAAAATCTGAACATAAGAGACAGAGACTGCACAGATGTGTCTGATATTTGTGGTTTATATATGCGTTTTCCTTTAATGAAAAGTGTCTTATTTATATAAAATCGAATGGGGAAATCTGTAATACTTGTAAAATCTGTAATACCAAAAATTGTGCGTATATAAAAGGTGATAAGCCTCAAATACATATAAGCATATGTAGCCAGGGAAAGGTTGAGTAATCGATGCCGCCTTTCCAACAGAATAAATCAAAGAACTGTATACTTATAAAAATTTCATCATATGGGTATAATGGGGAATAAGATAAAAATTTTTTAAATTACTGAAATTTTTTAAAAACCCATTGGAAGTAAGTTTCTGGCTGTGGATTAGTGTGCGTTCATTAATATATGTAATATTTTACATACTATAATTATATAATCCATTTATGGTTGGTACTTAAACGATATTATTTTTTGCGTAATTGTGATAATGTTTATTAGTAAAAAAAAGTACTACCTCGAAATTAAATTAAATTCAATTATATCAGAAAATGTTCTAATGTAAACCATTATTAAACCATTAACCATTATTATCAATATCCATGCTGAATGATATATTTTATAAAAGGTACAGAATTTATTTAAATGACTGAAATTTCTTAAAAGTTTTTAATTGAGTTAATCATGGAACTGTTCTTCCGAAAAGAAAAATTATATATAATGTGAAAGGAATTAGTTTTGTAGCTTAAATGTTATGTATAGTAATGTACCATAAAACGAAGTTTTCCATATAATTTATACAATTAAATTATTTTTGGATACGTTTTAATTTAATTAATTTTATCTGCGCATCATCAAACCGATAATACGTATACAAAAATTGATATTAAAAATAATATTTCTAACGATCTGATTACCGACTATAGCATTCAGGAATTGAAAGCGCAACAGACGTATTGCATGTAGAGAGTCCCCAGTCGTTTGTCCAGCAATGCCAACTGTTTTCAAAGCAGATGATACGTACCAATCTGCTGATAAAGGGAGATGTGTAGTCTTCCGAAGTTTCGCCATATGCGTTATTAAAAAGTCTGGTCGAACACTTTGTACTGTAATACCTTGACTCTGATATTCTGTTTGTAAGTCTTTGCTGAATTTATCAACAAACGCCTGCATTAGAAATATATATGAATATATATTAATGACAATTACATATAATTTCCATTTATATTAACTTTTGTGCCGCCATATAAACTAAGTAAAGGGCTGGGTATAACTGCAGCAGTTGATGACAAATTAATGATGACACCTTTTTTCTTGGCGATCATATGGGGTAGTATTAGAGCGCACATATGAGTAACCGAATGTATATTGACTGATATAACATCACGTAAAAATTTGGGATGCTGAGTGATGTGTTCGAGAAAGAATTCGGGATGTGCATAACTCGTGGTAACATTATTAACAAGTACTCCAATATCGAGACCTTCAATATTCTTTTGTACTGTGTGATATATTTGGGGACCATCAGTGAAATCAATTTCAATGATTTTTATTTGAACCTTATAAGCATTAGCTGAAAATATGAAAAGCTATATTTTGGATTTACGAAAAGTAATTTATGAATAATGTACTTACTTAATTCTTTAGCTACAGCTTCTAATTTAGATAGTGAACGACTTATGAGAATTACATTAATGCCCTTCTTAGCAAGCTGAAAATAAAATAAAATGATGTATGATGTTGGATGTAAGTGTATTATTATCATAATGATAAGCTTAGATGCACTGCATCTGGACACATATTGTGGAAGTTCAATATTTTAAGTTGTAGTAATGTTTTAATTTATCCTTAAGCTCACCGCTTTGGCGTAGCTTTTTCCAGTTCCATCGGTGGCACCCGTTACAACTGCAATTAATAATTTACTTTTAATTTTCGGTTCAGGAAACCAAATGCATTTATTCTAAATATGTTTGTATTGTTAAATTTCTTGAAATACCATCTAAAGCAATGATCTTAGCGGATATCACTTAACCAACAATTACAAATGGCTTTAGAAAAATTTGAAATATACCAGCCCAAGCTCCAAACCGGCGTAAATCGATCCTTGGTCCAAAAAGAACGGGACCAAAGATATTCAGATACAGCCATGGCAAAACTCGACGTACAATTTGTACGCAGACAATGCCCACACAAATAGTGATCAAAATAGAACTATCCAGTGCCATGTTTAGATTTATACGCTTAATGCACACAGTTCTTAAAACGTCGCCAGAAATATCCGAATACAGAGCTTAATATTTCTCTGTTACTTCTGTGTGGTTTAAGCAACTACTAAATTAAATACATCTTCCGGAATTAGTTTTCTGGTTAATTGTTGACATAAAAAATAAGAATAATTAATAATATAATAATACATTAAAGTACAATATAATTGCAATAGTTTTTATATTTAATTATATTTACATATTTTTTTTTGTATTCAGTTTTATATTTAATAAACTAAAAAAAAAAGCAAGAAAAGTTACCTTTAATTACTCGTATTTTACAGATTTATCTTAACAATTATTAAAGCAACGATTCTATATCTTGTTTTTTTTTTTTAGATAGTTTCAAACGCAAAAAATTGTTACTGTAATACAACACTTCTTCTAAAAAATGAATCATAGATTTTTGCACTAACGAGTGAGTATTCATATTAATTTTAAAACGCATGCATTCACAGATTCGGAAACTATTCTTAATCAGTGGCTATTTATTTGCCTATGTATAGAACTTTTTTATGGAATATTAAAAATTAAAATTTAATTTAATTAATTTTTGATTTTTGTATTTCTTGTTTTATTTTATTTTATTCTTAATTATTGTTTTGTTATTTTCATTATAATAATTATATACATTTCTTGTAATACTTATGCTGCAGTAGAAGGAAACATACTAGTATTTTAGTATGTATTAATATTTCAATATATTCGTAATACAGTTAGTTGGTGTATATTCTGCATTATATTCGGTGGTATTGAAAAGAACAAAAACAACTGTTAGTCGGTGATATACAGTGGATGAATATACCATGGTCTCCTCACCATGTTCTGTTAATTTGTCACGAGCCATCATATATGTCTGTTACCCAGCATTACTATGATGGAACACTAATCCTTTTCTGTTGGCCAATTCTGCTCGATACCTTGATTTGTTTCGCTTAAGTGATTGATTAGTGAGCAATAAAATTAAGCATTGCACCAGACTGTAGCAGCGCGTAATAGATTATTCCATCCAATGTTTTCAAACACTTAACATAAAGATCGTCAGCCTTTGATAATGATCGTTTGCATTGAATATTTTCTTATTTTCTATCTTATCTTACTTTTTATGTTTTTTATATTTTCCTTTCTTACCATTCCTTTCTTTCTTTCTTTTTTGGAGCAAGAGCACATACCCTAAGGATAGCAAAAATATCTGTCTGTAAAAAAATCTAAATGATGGTCTGATTTACTAATCATTATGTTATTATGGTACTAATCAGCAGAAAAGATTCCGTCGGTATAGATCGCAAAAGCAAATCCTTTAATCATTTAATAATTATCTTGTTATTTGCGATATTTCTAATAGATACTTTTATACTAAGATATCTTCTAAAATATATTTTGAATTCAATGTACTCTTAATGTTTATTTAAATACCATTTAATTTCTATGAAAATGATTATGGTTATAAAAGCATACATATTTATAATAATTTCATTATATTGTAAAAAAAATAATCACTAGTTGGTCGAGAAGTATAAAGTTCAATTTTGATATTTATACGATTATCACATTGAAATTTTCTCTAGATTAGTCGTTTATGTAGTTACCGTCACCGATCAATTCAAAATAGACATATTTGGTCTTTATATTATAAATTATATAAGGACCTAATACATATATATATATGTTATATATGTTATTATATATTATTATATATATATATGTTATTCACAGCAAATTTATCTATTATCTGCATCAATATTATTATATGTTATAAATAATATATGAATTTTAAATATTAACAAAAAAACAGAAGTTATCAAAAGGTGCACATCATTTAAATAATGCAGTGGTTTTCTTACGAAATTACGGAATTATATCTCTTTTTCTGATTTAGACAGAAGAGATTTTATTCTTAAAAATTCTTTGAAATGCACAATTTTAGTGATATAATTACCGCTCAAATAAGCAAAAAGTGCCAATAATGCATGTGGAAAGTAACCATTCGTTTTACCAGCAATACCAACAGTTTTCAAAGCAGAATCTACATATACTTCTGCGGATGGAGCGAATAAGTTAAGCTTGAGATTATGCGTCATATTTGTTATGACAAAACTCGGTCGTAAACTTTGCACTATAATTCCTTGACTCTGATATTCTGTTTGTAAGTCTTCACTGAATTTATCCACAAATGCCTGTAGAAGAGAGTACGAATGTAGGTATACGACTAATGCCGATATTATATATATTAGTTATGAGGAATAATATTCCGTTTTTTATACATATATTATTGATTTATACTTACCTTTGTGCCGCTATACACACTTAATAAAGGAGAGGCTATTACTGCAAAAAAGGATGATACGTTAATGATAACACCTTTTTTCTTCGCAATCATATTGGGAAGCACTAGACCACACATATTAGTAACTGAATGTATATTGACTGATATAATATCACGTAAGAATTGTGGGTAACGAGTAATATACTCGATAAAAAATTCTGGATATAAATAACTGATGCCAACATTATTAACAAGTACGCCAATATCAAGACCTGTAATATTCTTTTCAATTTTCTGATATATTTGGGGACCATCTTTGAAATCAATGTCGATGATTTTTATTTGAACTTTATAAGCATCAGCTGAAAATATGAAAAGCTATATTTTGGATTTACGAAAAGTGATTTACGAATAATGTACTTACTTAATTCTTTAGCTACAGCTTCTAATTTAGATAGTGAACGACTTATGAGAATCACATTAATGCCCTTCTTAGCAAGCTAAAAATAATGTAAAATGATCAGTTGGATATATTATTGTTATTATTAGAAAAGAAAAGAAAGGATTTTGCATTGCGACCTAAAAGATCTATTGTGTCCCTTATTCGGGTTAGAGTATTTCCCCAAATCCGGTTTCTTTAATGAAAGACAGTATAATGCCTACCTTTCCTAGTCTTGAATCTTTATGATCCATGATATAACCTCCTAGATGTTTCTTCTGCTTGTGCATCAGTGCCGCGCACTCCCCAAGCACATGGTATGTAGTTTCTCTCTCTTCTCTACGGTATCTGCAGTCTGAGTTAGATTGAATTCCTAACTTCGATAGGTGATTATTCAATCTACAGTGAGCGGTCAATAATCCTGTAATAATTCTTAGGTTGTTTTTTGATTATGATATGCAATCTTTCAAGCATTTTAGATTGTGAGAGTCCTGGTATCCTTTCCAAATAGAGTTCTCTTTCTTTTTCTTTTTCTC